AAGATTTTAAGAAATTATAAAAATTTTGGAGTATGAATTAAGATTTAAAATACATAACTATATGTCAAGACGCGTTATAAGAAATCAAAGATTTTATGAATACCATGTGATAGGCTTACGAAAGTTTTATGCATGCAAATAAATGTTTACTCATATGGACGAGAGTATACTTGTTAAGAATTTTTTCTTTAGTTGTACTTTAAGACTTAATAAAGAACCTTTAGAATAAAGACTCAATGTACTAACCCAAAAAAAAAATAATAATAAATAAAATCACAAGTAATGAAATAAATAAATAAATATAAATAATTATAAATAATAGCTAAATAATAATAATAATAATAAATAAATAAACAAAAGAAAAAAACAACCTTTCCCAACTTCTCTCCATGGTAACCTCCCATCCCTTCCCACAATTATTTCTCCTCAACAATTGCCATTACTTGAGAAAACAGAAAAACAACAATTGCCATTACTTGAGAAAAAAAAGAGAGAATGACCTTTAAGCAGGTGAGATTTAGGAAGATTTACGTCAAGATAGATCTGATTAAATCTTCATTTCTTTTTTAGAAATCACAGGTAGATCTTCATCAAATTATTAAAATGGTTTAGCTTTGAGTTAAAAACTAAATTACAATAATTTATACTAATGCTAGTAAATCAAGTCACATTAGTAATATTAGGTTAAATTTATATGAGTAGCAAAATGAATAAATTTAAAATATATTGGCCAAGAAGATTTGTGAACTGAAAAATACTGAGATAAGGAAAGATTTGGAAACATGGATCCACTAGAAATTTAGAATACACGAGAATAAAATTAGAAGGCAACAAAATAAATACCGATAAAAAAAAAAAAAGAAGATTTAGGAATTAAAAACTGGAATTTGGAATCTACTTTTTTTTATACACTTTTTTTATACCATAGTAACCATGGAAAATAAGATTTTTAATAAAAATATAATTATAGTTGAAATGTAACCCCGTTAGGATTATGTATGATACGTAGACTAAAAAATGAGAAATGACATGTTGAGCATGAAAGATGATAGCGGGGTTATATTCATTAATTATAAAAGTAGAAATATTTGGGACCTCATGCATTATGTGTGCTCATGCATTTGGGGATACCCCTATTCCATCAGAGGGTACGGACACGGACACGTACATCCAATGGCAGGACAACGATCGTTATGTTTTGCATAACGCTGCCATGATGGTTACTAGTTCTAACGGGTATCCGGCCTAAGGAACTCCTAGAGTATGCTCGCCCGACAAGGAAAGTTGCCCAGCAGTGTGCGAACTGACTAGTCAGCGTACGGGCTGTGTGTAGAGTATATGGTACACGTCCAAATTACCCGTTAGGACAGTATTGTAGGTAAATAGATCAAAAGAATAGGTCCCGTCATTGCATTCGCATGTTCTTGCATTTAACCCCAATAGTGGGGTCACTTACTAAGTATTTTTTTAAATACTCAAGTCATGTGCTACTACATTTTCGAGGTTAAGGCAAGGTATTCCTGTATAGCTGACGACGGCATCGCAACTCGAGACCATAACACATGCATAGGATAGTGGTATTTATTTTTTTTAGACTTAGGCTAGAATAGGATGTTTTTAACTTAAACGTTTATTTATTTTATTTAGTCTTTTCTTATGTCGTTTTAAATCTTGTGTCGTTTTAAAGATGTTTTCGAAACAAGTAAGTCCTATTAGGATCGATACCAGTTGTTAGCTCTGATACCAATTGTTAGGATCGCTCACACACACTCATCAAGATGAACACAAAGAACAGGAGATAGAAGATACAAAGAGGAATATTGGCTAAAGTTTTATTATTTAGGACTTGTACAACAATAGAGAGTACATAGAACAGAGTTAGTGAGTGGTTTCAATTTACTAAATATAGCTTACAAAGATTTAACACAAAATATAATCTAACAAATATATCTCTATCCAATCTTTACCAATTATCTCCCATATATATCTCTATCCTATCCTTATGAAATATCTCCCAAATATATCTCTCAGATCTCTCCCTCTCCCAACAACTTTAGTAAATATCTTCCAAATATATCTGTACCAGATCTCTCCATATCCGATCAAGTCCACCTTCTACATATTCAATGTTTATGGTTTGTATACATCAGCAAAATTAAATAGAAAATTTCGAGTCGGAAAACTTCCTATATTTGATTTGTGGTCAAGCTAGAGTATGAGAATTTGGGAACTTTTCTCTTGCAACACAAACCTAAAGTAGTCCTCTTCTCTTTCCTTATTCAATCACTAAAAGTTCCTAAATTGAACTTCCTACTTTATATATAAATTATATATCCTATCCAAACTAATTAGTTTGAAGATATAATATAAGTTTTAAAATTTTGAAAATCAAATTTCATTGGAATGGAACTTTTTAACCTCAAAAAAGACATCTACCATTTTTATTCATAAAATTATTTATTGAAATTGAATGAATGTTAAAGTGCATCATTTCCAATGATACATTAACTTGAATATATTGAGAGATCCAAAATATAAGTAAATACCTTCCTCTCGACCGGCCCAAATGCAATTATTATCATCACATTGATCATTAAACTAATACCCTTTTACTGGCCAAAAAACATCTCCATTAACTTGTCCATATTTGTTACTAAAATGGCACGAAAACAACGTAGAAGTCCAAAAATTTTCTTTAAAACTCCAGTCGTAATTATCTCTAGTGCGGAGTACGTGCTCGCCCAGATCGTCATTTGCTGACTTGCAATGAACAATTAAAGTTGAAGCAGTCATCCCATTTAAAATAGTCACTTTCCATCGAGAAAACGGTAATTGTAACTTAGATTCTGCAAAACAAAACTTCATTATATTGTTCGATGCCAAGGTAACCAACACAATTAAACAGAATATGCTTAGAGACTTCATTTTCTTCTCCAAAAGATTGTTCACCCTTTTTTACTTAATTGGATTCTATCTCTTATATATACATAAATATAGCCAAAATGAGTGGTAAGTGGTTATATTTAAACACAATTAGTTAAAAGTGTTGTGTAAATTTTTGTTATTACAACATATATTCCATAAAAGGGTGGGATGGTCACCTAAACTTTCTTAATTTTCTTAATTGATTTTTTATTTTATTAATTCCTTTTAAGTAAAGTTTAAAGCTTGACCATTCATTATTTAGAATCAGGTTCACTTTTTAAATGAAAAATAAATTAAGAAAATAATGATAAAAGATAGTTAAGTATTTTAAAATAAAGTTTATGGCATCTAATATTATGTCACTACTAAAATTATATTTTATTTAAATACATTATAACCAAAATATTATCTCAAAATATTATTATAGTCATTATATAGATTTATTGGTAAAAATTTTAAAAATATGTTGATGTACTTTAAACTAGAAATTTTAAAAATTACCTAAAGAAAAGTTTTGTTTTAGATATTTTTAAAACTCGCGAGATTAATGCTAAAATTACTTACGGCTTCTAAATCTTGTACAACATTCCAGTTCTCCTTGGTGCATGGGTTGATAGAATTGAAATCTCATGAGTCGAGTCGTCTGAGCTTGGATTTGGGCGGTTTGAGCTTGGATTTAGGCGAATCAGTATGTGTAAGTTCACTCCAATTGGATTCATCTTTTATTACATTACTAATTTTAGTTTCTTTTATATATATATTATATATATTTTAAATTTCTCATACCTCAATATCTTATACTATTTTTAAACTATTCATTCACTCTATACTATTTTTAAATACATATATTATAACATGAATGAGTTTCTTTTTAAATTTTAATAATATAGTTTTATTGAATATGATTTATACATGCATTTAGGATATTTTAAAACAAAAGTATATAATGTTCGATATACATAGAATATACATATATTTGAAAGTATATAATGCTCCGTGTTCATCTTCCCTCTCTTCAAAAGAATTCGTCCTCGAATCACGAAAATTATCACCTACATCAAAGGGAGTCAAGTCATTAACATTGTAAATAGAACATACTGAAATTTCTACGAGAAGATCAATTTTATAGGCATTGTTATTAATTCTTTTAAGAACAAAAACTTGACAAGGGTCATCCCCTTTGATGTAACTTGGTCTTTCTTTGAGATGTGAATCGCTCTGTGTGAAAATGTATCTAAAGCCAGTCATCGTTGAAAAATAATTTTCATTCATTCTTTCTTAATTCCTGAAGCAACCCTTCACCTCTTTGTGCAATACTTTGATCAAATTTGTCTTACTTTACTGCTTCACTCACAAAAAAAAAAATATTCGAAAGAATAGGAAACAAATCAAGAAGCGTAAGTAGAATAAATTCATAAACAACTTCAAAAGGAGAACAATGAGTGGTACTATGAATTGCTCTCTCTACAAATGCAAACTTTCGTCTCAAAACTTAATATTCTTAGAAATAATAACTATCCTATCTGTCTGAGGATGACATGTAGTTTAAAACAACAACTTGGTACCCAACTTACCCTACAATACATTCCAAAAGTGACTTAAAAGTTTAACATCGGTATCTCTAACTATTCTTGGGTTTCCATGTAATCTTACTACTTCCCTAAAGAATAAGCCAGCAACATGCTTTGCATAATCCCTAAACATTATCTTGACTACAAAACTTGTGAACATCGTGCTTCATCTTCGATCAAAAAAAGTGTTCATGCAACATATTATAAGTTTTATTAATCCCAAAATGTCTCATTAAGCCACCACCAAATTAGACTAGCTCCAAAGATAAACTAACAACCATTGCTAAACCTATCAAGTAAGTGACTCTATTATTTGCTTGGTTGGATGAATTGTATTGCGTATTATAACGCATATGTGTTTCCCTTGAGCATGTCATAATTATGATTGTTATGCTATCCAATGTCGGTTATGTCATGTTTATAAGCTAGACTATAGTGTGACTATACTATGTATAATAATATGTTATTATGATGATAATCTATGATGTGTTAGGACATGTATATGAAAGATTTGATAAGAATTATGTCTGCATATTTACGTTATAAATGGAATTGGAGGTTTGACTTGCATTATAAATTTATGTCGTTATTTTAAGGCATGGGGACCTCATGAATTTTTGTGTGTCATATGCATCGTGATACTTTTCTATTATGATTAATACAAATGTGTACTTTACGACTTACGACAATTATGTTCGTCCCAATGTTACGCAGGCCCTTTCCCTTCATGGTGTCTGAAAGCACATTAGCGAGTGCTAGTCCATTGAGACAGGCCTAGGAAATACATGAGCCCTCAGGTGGGTCCTCGTGCTCGTGGTTCGGTCGTGAGTAGAAAAGTACTATACATCCAACCTTGCCGGAACTGGAAAGCTACCTAAGGCAATGTCATTAGAACCTATCATGTCACATGTGTTTGTATTTCTAGACACCAAATGTACAGTTACTTACTACGTATTTCTTAAACTACTTAAACCATGTAATACTCTTATTTTTCAGGTAAAGGTTAGGCACAAAGGTACGGATGGCGACGCCGTGACGAAAGCCATGGAACTAGAGGTAGGGTAGACACAATTTATGTCTATTTAGTAGTCCTTAGGTTAGTTTAAGTCAATGTTTTTATTTTTCAATATTTTATCTAAACTTCACATGATTTATTTTTCGCATTATTGTTTTAAAGATTTTATTAGGAACGGGGGAGCCCATGACACCTTTTATGAAATATTTTATATGAATATTTTGTGTACACATTAATCATGTCATCTATGTAGTAACAACTTTATGTGAGTGATCATGTCTAGGTCGATTTTCCATAGAATAGGTGCTAAAAATTTCTAAAATTCTTCTGGTTGGACATAATTTCCTATTAAAATTAGGTTAATATCGAAATCGAGAAAAATACAGACAAATAAAGGTCAAACAAATGGAAAAAGAAGTATCACTCGTTGGTTATGGACCAACATATGCACAAAGGGGTCGCATGCACAAATATCATGTATGACTACATACGCGCAGAGGCGGTCGCATGCGTAAAGGTGGTATGAATCTCAAATTGGGTCAGGCACATAGGGTACGGGTCACGATTTGAGTCGGACACAGACAATCGAGTCTGAAATTTGTAACTTGTGTATCGTCAATTCCTTCAAATCATTTTTTTAAGATTACAATTAGTTTTTTTATTTTTTCTATTTCTTTGAAGTCTCATCTTCTTTCCTACAAAATTTTAAGAAACTAAAATGGTAAAGTTTTAAGCCTACTTTGAGACAAAAAAAAAAAAAAAAACATAATCCATTAAAGAAAGAAAGACAGTGGGACTCGGACCCACAAGTCAAACACCTTATCCATTAGGCCACGGGCGCTTTTCATTATATGAGCAATCGTATGCAAATTGAATTTTCAAGAGTTTATTATAAGATTTGTCCCAAACGTGGAGCTCATTGATTAGAGGATACCCACCTGATATGTAAATCAAATAGGCCAAAGAATGATTAACTGTCAAAATCATGGTAAATTAAAATTCCATCAATTTTGTTACAAATGTCTTTAATTGGGTTAGAAAAAATAAATACCAAAGTGAATTGCATGTTCTAAGAAATTAGATAATGAATCTTTCATAAAAAGAAGTTGAAAATGGATCCAAAGTGGTTGTTCTAAGAAATTAGATAATGAATCTTTCATAAAAAGAAGTTGAAAATGGATCCTAAGTGGTCATATTTTGCTTAAAAAGACTAAAAACAAAAAAGAAAAGAAAGGAGAAATTAAGAAAAAAGTTAGAAAGTATTTCTCTACACCGAAACTAAAAATAAATATCAACCTCTCATGTTTTATGAAAAATTAAAGAAAAATAGAATTTGATCCTAATTTTTAATTCTTACCTCCAAGGCTTCAAGTGTTTCAAGAGACACAGTCTAAACATGTATCAAGGGCTTAATGAATTCTTTGCGACACAATCTGAAACCTACACCAAATGATTATTATGTTCCGTGTGGTGTAATCTGAAACCTACGTCTAAGGCTTCATATGTTTCAAGTGACGCTGTCTAGAAACCTATGCTCAAGCCTTCTACATTCCAAACGACATAGTTTGAATGCTTATACTCAAGGCTTCATATATTCCAAGTGGCGTACTTTGAAACTTGCATTGAAGACTTCTTACACTCCAAGCAATGTAATTTGAATCATGGTTTACCATGAGAAAAATAGGGGTTTCTTTTGTTTCGGAGTCTTAGAACCTTGGTTCTTTGTTCTTAGCATTCTTTGTGCCTTGGAATTTTTTTGGTGTGTGATAAGCTTACTTAATACATGTTTTTAAGGTGGTCTCCTAATTACTTAAAAGTCAAGGTCTCAAGAGGAGCTCATTCTAATTTAGGGAAGCATCCAAATTACTTATTAATCATAAGAGAGTAACCACTTTGCTTAAAGGCTCCTTCTAAAGTTTATCCATATATAGTAACCTAATTGCTTAATAAAATGCTATTTTTGAGCTCTTCTTAGGTTAGGGTAGTCACCAAGTTGCTTAAACTCCAAGGACTATCCTAATGGTCTACATGAGATAGTATCCTCTTTGCTTAACAAAAAATCAAGTGGCATTTCCATAACACCCATATGTTTCAAAAATATATTTTTTAATTAAAAAAATTGTTATCAAACATGGTTATATTTTTATTATAAACAATAAGAAGAACTTGTTACCAAACATGTCGATAATTGCTCTCATTTACAACAATAATATAAAATGTTGAAACGTCCTTGTTCATCAACTTCAAATTTAATGGACTATTGCATTACACTTTAGAACACGTGTTACTGCCAATGACAAATGGTTAACAATAGCTCTCATTGGTGGTTTTTTGAAAATAACTAAAATACTACTAATAATAAATAAAAACATTTGTTAATATGCTGGTTACCTATCTCAATACAACTATAACATGTTTCTTTCATTTCCATGGAGTAATTGAGATTAAAACTAATTTTACTGGTATAAAAGGGGAACAAACTAAACTCAAATATTCAAATATTTACAAAATTAATTCTTTTTCAACCCTCCTAATAAACTCAGTTTAGTTTGACCATAAATTCTCCTACTAAATAAACAATTTCTCCTATTATGTTATGGGTCAAAATATTGTTTAGATACATTTTGACCATTTGTAGATAAGGTATGAACTACCCTAAGCATAATTTAGTAGATAGGGTATGAATTAAGATCACAAAGTTTGATGGTTCAATTTCTTACTTGTAAAATGTTGAACTTAAAAAAAATGAAAATTTAGAGACCTATTTGACATTAACTTAGGTTTACGGACCAAATAGATATAAAGTTGAAAGTTTGTTGGGGACTAAACCATAATTTAGATAAATTTAAATGTCAAATAAGCTTTTAATCTTACATGATCTTATATGCTATTTATATGGTATGTTCTTATTACATCTAATAAAAAATATTATTAAATTTATTATGATTTTATATTTTTTAATAGAAATTATATTAGGAAAGGTAAATAGAGGGGTTATTTTAGTGTTACTTAAACCTCGAGCAATTTGGTCGGTTAAGGGCCTTAACTCACGGTTCTTTGTGTTTTCCTTTCATATACCCTTAATTCATACTTGGTATAAGATTTATACAAAAATCCAAGTTATTGCTACAAGTATTTCTTAAGAAAAGTCCAAGATGGCTACTTACCTTATCTTGATGTTCGGGACCTCTGTTTTCGAGCTTTCGAATTCGAATTACCTCAAATTTTCTTCCACATTTTCCTTATTGTGTGCAATTTCTGGAACCATAAATTTTTTCATAAGAATCGGTCTCTAGAATGAAGAGCTAAGGATTGATTTAAAATGTTTCTTCCCTGCATTTCTTCATGAAAATAAAGTTGGTGTTACAAGGAAGAGCTAGGGATTGATTTCATACCTTCTCGTGGATCGTAGTCTAAGATGGATGCCTCCAAAGTTCGTCTCAAATCTATTTTCTTGTGATTCATTATTGGGTAGCCGATTCTAGGAGTTTTCAAGGCCCGACTGTCTCATAGAACCTCTTCTTTATCGTTTCCTCAAGCTAAAAGAATTTGTTTGGAGAAACGTCTTTTTGCATGATACTTTAATTTTGAAAAATAGTCCTATGTCTACAACTCGTCTAAAAACGTGAATTTTCCTTTTCTTAGGTAGCTCATTCTACAACGTTTTAACTTTGGATTCCTACATCAAAGTTACTCAACTTGATCCTCTTAATCTAAAGAAATTTTGGATCGTAGATAGGAATTCAACACTTACCCCCAAATTCTACAAGAAACGGATTTTCTTCCACTGTGCACATTCCTGAGGTTATTTTTCTTCACGATCTTCTATGAAAATACTTCTTGGAGGTGCAAAAACTTATTAGAATTTGTCTTGGTCGACGAACTTGTGTGTACGCCTAGATTTAATTTTCAAGCTTACTTTGAAGTTATTCAATGGCAGATCGGATTGGGAGAATGGTTTTTAGGCATTTTCAATGCTCGATTCCTTCATAAATATTGTTTGCAACCTTGTTTAGAAGCGATAGGAATAAGTTTAAAGGGGAATAAGGGAGAATTGCTCTCCAATTTGGAAGAAATCTTAGAGTAGGAGACCCAAAATCTAAACCCTCATTTATTGCTTGTGATTGAGAGATCGATTCAACTTGATTCTTGTTCCATACTATTTCCTCAACTTCAGACTTTATAGGAAAAACGTACACGAATGTTAAACTTCCATCATTGTCCCGATTTAGAGATTAATTTTCTAGATATTCCATCAGACATCCTCTTCGATCAGCGAGCTATTGACTTCCAATTTTAATACTGAATCATTGATGTGGTGATCTGTGAACATTCTAGACTTTGTCCAATTTTGGAGGGATACAAGGCTGGTTTTTGAGACTCAATAGATTGTGTGTATAAGGTGATAGTGGAAGTTGTGATTGTGGAAAGAAGGGCATTTTCATAATTATCCATATTTTAAGGGTTACTTTGGTAATGTGTCATTTTCTTAATATTTTTTTATTATTTTTTCTCTAAAATATATAAATTTTTTCTAAATAATTTTAGGCATGACAATTAGGCATCCCTTTTTGTTAGCCAGTGACATTCTGGCTTCGCTACTTGTCTTTCTCTTTTCTTTCACCTGATTTCACTCCCTCCTCTGAACCTATCCAACTATATTGAATTTATAACGGAACCCCCTTAATCCATTAACAAAAAAGAAAAAGATAAGGCCATTCCATTTCGACAAAAGACCCAACACCCAAGTTCCATAGCTTTGGGTCCGCTATCCCGATCATGATTTTCTACCCCCAGAGGGAAAAGTCCTTCCCATTTTGGCCGGTTGTGGGCGAGGAGGGATTCGAACCCCTGACATCCTGGTTGTGCTCTAATCCTCTAAGCTACAGGCCCCACCCTGTCTCCACTGGATCTGTTCCTGGGGGTACCCTAAAAAAAGTAACCTTTCCTCTCCCCAACCATTTTCCATTTCGGGTAAAGAAGATAGATGTGAAAGCGCCTCTATAAGAATGGTGCGTTCCAAGGGGTGAAGTGGGAGAGAAGGGGTTTTGAATAAGACGACCTTTGTTGTTTTTCGACAATCGACAAGGATAATCGGCAACTGAAATTCTTTTCGGTGAGAGGAAATCGTTTGACGGGAAGTTGTTGGAAGAAAATAAAGATGCAAAAAATAACAGAGAGATAATTGCTAAAGACTTTTTCTTAAAATGAGGTTCTTGTATCTTCTGAACAGATTTACCTATTTAAATATCTAACTTATCCTAAAAATGTCGGAGAGTGGCCAACTAAATCTGTGCCACTTCCTACAAAATTGCCATCTAAAACTTTGGTAATTCATTCGACGTGTTTGTCAAATGGTCAAACGAATGTATTCAATCAACTAATGAAAACGTGTAAATCTAAATAAGGAAAATCTCATGTTTTATCTAACAATCTCCTCCTAAAACCT